TTTTTTTTTTTTTTTTTTTTTGCGGTTTTGGTTCTTAAAGTTTGTGTGTTTATTTGTATTAGGCAACGGGAATAGAGTTTGTGTTCCAAGAGTTTTGCTTTTTTTTTTTTTTTTTTTTTTTTTGCAGGTTTTTGTTCTTAAAGTTTGTGTGTTTATTTGTTTAGGAACGGGATAGAGTTTGTGTTCCAAGAGTTTAGCCAGACCCCAGAAACACCTACACCACTGTACCTCTCCTACCTGACCATCCTCAGTGAGTTCTCCAGCAAACTGCTCAAACCAGACAAGAAGACGGTGTAAGTGCTGCATACAGGTTTTTAAAAAAAATATCCTAAACACGGCTTTTTGAAAACCTCTGAAAGTTTGTTCATGTCTGTGCAGGTTCTCCTACCTGCAGAAGCACACTGCGGAGCACATTATTGACCTCAGAGAGGAGTGCTGGCAGCCACTTATCTACTATCGTGCTTCGCTACTGGCTGCAGCTGAAGGGGAGGACGCTGTGTCCTATGTTAGCTCTGACAGGAAACCCCACCTGCCCAATCGCTCGCCTTTCTCCAAACAAAAATTAGAAGGTGCTGCACCATTATTACCATATGCACAATTATCATACATGTAAAATATCATACATCACGTGTGTATGTTTTTTGTTCTTCAGGAAGCAAGTCCCCCTGTCCGTTCAGCCCCACTGACTCCAAAGTCAGTAAAGGTCACAGGTCAAACTTCAGTCCAAGGTGAGGCTGTAGGATGATGTCTCACATTCAGATTTCTATTCATTTTATAGATCAGTTACAAACCAAATCTTCATCATCTCAGTCATATTAATTGCTGTAACCTCCTCAGCCATCAGGAGAGGACAACTGATATCGATCCGTTTTCTGTTCCACTGGAACCTGCTGCAAGAAGACTGAACATCGAGGGATCTGTCCTCAGCATGAGCAACGAGGTGGACGATGACACCGTGGAGATTGAACTTTAAATATGAGGATCTGGGGAACACAAGTCCTCCTGTATGAACGGTAAGACCTCACTGGACGTCACAAACTCTTAGAGACGGTTTCCTTTTTTTTCTTTGCACCTTCTAACTGGCGCTGTCTGTGTTCAGATGTTCAGACATCCCAGCGACCAGTTTTTGTATTATTCTCCAAGAAAAGTTTCTTGAATGTGCTGTATGTTACGTTTTTTAAGCGGAAACAAGCTTTAAGGAGAAGTGTGGGGATGTTCTATATTTTTCTTAGTCAGCAAATACCCCCAAAAAAAGACCAAAACCAACAATTAATTGATGCTTCTAACAAGTATTCAAGCCTTACTGTTGCGCTGGGTGACATGTTCCCTCATTACCAGAAACATGTTTGAGTCACTCCCACATACATGGTCCTGATCTCATTCTCATTTGAGCACCAAATGTGGATTAATCCACCACTGAAAATAGTCCCCAGCAAATGCACTATTTACTCATAAAGCTAACACATATAATAACTAATAAACTAAAAGCTAAAAGTGCCCAGCTGTTTTGGGGAACAACTTTGCCTTTTCAAAACGTGTTACTATATATTTCTGATTCATTTTTAAGATTTAAACATGATCAAAAAGATCTTCAGCAGGTGCAGATGGGCTTGGGTCTGAGCACCATAGAAGGGTAGAGAAGTGGTCGGTTTTAGTCTTTTCATGGAGTATTTTAAAAATAAGAAATGTATAGAATACCACCAGCCTTACTCTTGAAATAATTTCAGATTATGGTATAATTTATTCACAGACCACTTTGAGGACAAAGTGTATAAGTATGTGTATTATTTTTTTATTTTTTTATTCACAGCTTTACTGTAGACTGTACTTGAATGTTACAGGTCACACTAGATGATCGATCTTTTATATTTTCTTTTGGATCACACTCAGGTCCAAGATTTATCTTAGTATCATCTGGGGTTAATTAAGAAATATCCTTTACTGTCCTACCTGCCAGTTTATTATTGCTCCTCATAGGAAATGGTTGGCTTGAAGTTACCCAAACACTACTTATGTATGTAACTACTTATGCTGTAAATTAACTTAAATAAAAAAAAATCCAAGCGAGTACATTTTTCCAAGAAGCAATTTTGTACCTCTTCACCTTGTTCCTTGTTCTTGTACAAAATCTGTGTACAGCAGCAGCAGCAGCAGTTACTGTAAGGTGACAGAAACATTAATCACCAGCCAAGCGTTTTTTTACATTCTGGAAATGTTTCCTGTGATATTCAGCTGAAGGATATCTATAGTACCTCAAGTCTAACAGTGAACACATCAAAAACATTTTATACTAGATTAATCAAATTACACTGCAGAGTCCATTTTCTTTACTCTTCCATTAACCAAGACTTTATTATTAATTTAAAGAAAAGCAAAACATTTTAAAATTGGTTCCTTTTGTTCTGTCAAAGTACATTCAAATTAAGTACTTTATAACATAGAAAAAAGAATTTGTCTAAAACACTTGCCCAAATCATTTACAACACAGCAAGCACCAAATACATATTTACAATTATTTATAAATTCATCTCTAATAATTTATAACCCCATCTCACACATACAATAAGTCCATGTCATAATGAATACAGACCTGTACAACATACACTGTGTGTGGCCGTCTGAACTGTGTGCTTGTGTGTGTACAGCAGGCTCAACGGTGGCTTGTTTAGCATTTACAGTAACTTCTCGTTTCAGCAAACAAACCATTAATGAATTTACAGCCTTATAGAAAACATTCAGTTATGATCACTGGAATGTAAAACTAGCCAATGACTTCAGATGATAATTAGTTCAAAACCTGAATCAAATCAGCATGGTTTCTGTTCAACAGTTCAGGGAGCTCCAGTGTGTAAAGAATGATTTAGCGCATGTGAATATGATAATACAACGTTGGTGTTCAGATAAAACACTTGCTCCAGACATTATTTGTACAAAGCATTACATGCACAACACAACTTTTCCTGTTATAACTTGAGGAGGGAACAAAACGTGTTGCTTGTGAAACCCTGAAGTTGACTGTGTTTTTTTTATGACAGGTAAGAATATTTAAACCTTTGGGTCAGTGTTGTGAAGAACTACCTTCTGCTTTGGCCACTTCACATTTCTTCAGTCAAATGTGTGATAATGTCCATTTCTCCTGCACAATCTGACCTCAACAGTGCTTTGACAATGTCTTCCGGTTTTGCATTTGCTCTCTCTGTGGTGAAGTGTGTCCTTATACACAGGATGGGAACTGAGCCCGAACCTGCAAAACTCTGGCCTGATGTGATTCAATCGTCAAACGTTACAGGATCGAGGGTCATTCAAAGTCATCTTCATACTCATATTCATCCAGGTCCAGGTTGCAGTGTGGACTGGGGATCTCAAAGAAGTGTCTCTTTGTCAGACCCAGCTCACTGGAGATGTGCTGCCCTAAAGGGCTCAAAGGATTATCATACCTAAACACACACATGGAGGAAAAGATTAATAAATCAGTCAGAAAGAGAGGTTGTTTTTAAAGAATAAATTCACAACTTGTCAGCTGTATGAAACAATAGTGAGGCATTTAAATGAACACTGATGCAGGTTTTACTTGCTGTAATAATTCCTTCTGTTCATGCATTTGATTTAAGTAATGGGGGACAAATTCCACAGACCTCATTCCATGCTAAAATGTTAATATGAGACTTCAGCAGTATGAGTTGTGAGAGTGTGTTCCAGAGTTTCAATCTTTTTAATACAAAGAAAACCCTCTTTGAGTTACTTTCCATCCACTGCAGCCCAGTAAGAAAAATCTGTCTGTGGAAACATAAGGAGTGGAAAGACAGTAACTTTGTGAAAATACCCACTTGATTAGTCTAGCTCAGACTGCTGAAGCCTCATATTTACTCCAGATAAACTACACAATACATTTCACACAGAACAAGGAAAAACCTGTTCAATGTTCATATGGAGATGTCAGTATTGTTTTAAGACAGACTTGAAAAGATGTGAACCTACCTTTTAAGGCATGTTGATAACAAAACAGATTTTTCAAAAAAAAGTGGCTGACAGGGTCATTGAAACAGTCAGGAGGATTTACTCTGGTGAATGTGTTAAAGGACAACCATGTTAGAGGAGCAGTTTGACATTTGGGAAATACACTTATTCGCTTTTTTTCAGAGAGTTTGGTGAGAAGATTAATACTAGTCTCGTGTTGGTACTGTAAATGTGATGCTACAACCAGCAGCCAGTTAGCTTAGCACAAAGATTAGAAACGGGGAAAAGGTAACCTAGCTCTGTCCAAATGAGAGAAAATCCGACTACTAGCAAACTCGTGCTCGTGCTGATGTTGGACGTTCACACACTATCTCATTCATGTTTGTAGAACATAAAACAACAATTGGATTATTAATATTTTCGGTAATGTAAAAAACTGAAAAATAAGTTGGAATAAAATTACAATTGTAAATTTCATGTATTACATCTGTTTGCTGTATTAAAAGTGAAACAATATTTTTTATAACCTAGAACTGTCCTTATGACTACAGATTTGTATTTTTTTGAAAAGATGCTTGTTTTATTTTTCTTGCTTTAGCTTTATTCTTTGTTAAATTGACAAAATAAGAGGTCAGATTTATAGCTGAGTTTGTGCTAAAAAAAAAAAAAGACCATCCATGAGGTGTAGGGACAGTTTAAAAAGGTACTGTACAGACACAACTAAATGCAAACAAAGTTGGCAAAACTCAAGTAAAATTGACCTTTTTTGTTACTTTCAGACAAGCTGCTGGTGGTAGCCTCATTTTTACTCTACTGACTATCTCTTGGTGAGCAAGAGCAAATCGAGTAAGCGTAGTTCCTAAAATGTTGAACTATTCCTTTAAATAGATAAAAGCTTTTTAACAAAGCAGTATGCATGGAAAGGACACAGGAGCACCACATGAAGGCGCAGAGGTGGTGCAGGAGTGGAGGTTTTTTGTGCAGAAGAGGAAGGATAAACACAAGAAGCTGTCTGGCTCAGAAACAGACTCCCAGCTCTAAGACATGGTCACATACACATGATATTGTGCTGTGCTGACAAAACAACTATCTGGTGTCAACAGTATGCTGAGACTGGTGGGGTGTGGGTACAAGCTAGGAGTGGGTTTAGGACTAGACTCACCCAGAGAGGAGGAGGTGGTGGAGAACACTTAGTCCCTGCTGATTACCCTGAGTGTCTTACCTGCTCTGGTTAGCAGCCTATCTTTAGAAGTCGGTGGTGTTCCTAAAACCGCCACACAACATACCTGTCAACAGCCTCATCTATCATTGACTCACTCTCACAGGGGCTCTGCTGCTGGACATAATCCTCAGACTTAGCAATGTGATCATCAAAGTCTGATTACATTGACCAGTTAGACAGAAAATAGTGTGAAATCAATATGTCTTTATCTGTGTTAGCATTATTATCTATGTGTACATGGACTTCGTACTAAACCGTCACTGTCTGTCTGCACGATAGAATTTTTTCAAACAGGTTATCAATTAAACCTGACCTTGACATGTTGGAATATCTGTTGTAAAATGAGTCCACAATTGACAATACTGGCTCTGCAGCACCGATAAACATGATAAATAGTTGTAATTCGATAGCTAACACAATAATCGGGGTCCAGATTAATCAAACTTCTCGAAATGATACTTGATCTAAAGAGCCAACTTAGGAGTAAAAATGTTCTTTGCTAAAAGTGAAGACATTAATCAAGTAAAAAACTTATACTTTAAGCCTAATTTAGAGCATTTAACATTTAAGAGCAGCTCTCAAGTGATCACATGAATACTTAAATGTCCAGAGTTTTAACATACAAGAAAGACAAGGATTTACCCTAGATCTGCATTTTACTCAGTGAAATATTTTTCTTCAAAAACATAATGTAATTTTATTCTTTAAAATGGTTCATTTAATTTATTTGAATTCTGTTTTATTTTGAGTAGCAATTAGCATGTGAAATTAACAATCTAATACACAGTATTAATAATAGGGATGCACATACAGGAAACTGGCTAAAACTACTGCAAACAAAAATGTATGCTACCTTTATTCTTGTTGTTTTAGACTAGAGTTAGTTTTATTAAAAGGGTCTATAGCTTAGGTCTTAAGTGCACCAGCAGCAGGGATGTCACGGGAGCAGCAGGAGACACATGTTTCATCATATAGAATCAATAAATCATTTGTAAATAATGACATAAGTAAATCATTATTAGATATCTATTCTGTGCTCAAATCACTGCAAGTGCTAATTTCAAGACGTGCACAAATACATTACAAATCTCATTATAAATTAAGTCGAGGTTAAACGAGTCTCCCAATTCCTACAGGAAGATAACTGTTGTAGAGAATATAGATTTTTATATAACATCTTAACTCCTATTTGGTAAAGGGACAAAAGAAGTTGGGGAAGTAACCAAAACCATTTTTTTAAACCTATTTTTATGGTGTTCTGACATTGTGTAGTAATATCTTTTCTATACTGCAGTCATCACATTCACACATTTAATAGCATTTCTATGTTGTAAGAAAATTAGTAAAGACAGATTTTGAGTGGAAGTTGAAGTGAAGGAATTTTACTTTTATCTTTCAGTTAAGTCCAAAATTATACTTTCAGCAGTTGGATATATTTGGGCCCAGGGTTGTAGCTGCAGCCGTATCACAGATCCTTGAGTGAAGTCAGACTTACACATCATTGCACTGATCGTTGGCAGCCTCCTCCGCCACTAGGATGTCGTACTCCTCTGCAGCGTATTTCTCCCAGTCTGAAGCTTCCTGGCCGTCTCCTTCCACCTCCTTTAAAACACGAGTTTTAAAGTCACAAGTCACATCTATCTCACATCTGGTGACATCCATTCATTTAACCTTCCTTACCCTTATTACAGAGAAAGGATCCTTCTGTTCGTGGTCCAGGTATTTCTCGATGTTGAAGAAAGTGTCAAAGAAGATGTGGGACAACTTGCACCTCTTAAGATCCCGCAGAGTGATCTTACCTGGGCAAGGTAAAGGAAGTCACTTTAGACAGCTTCCCAAACTCAAACTTACCTACTGACAGATCATTTATGGCATGGGTATTATTAAGCCAGGCTTTCACATCC